AACTATTATGTAGCCTCCTCCATTAGCGGGTTCCCTCGTGGTTGGGGCCTTGGTCATTGATTTAGGATAGGAAGAGCCCCTGAAGGAGATTTCTGGGAAACATAATCCCCAGCAAGTGGAGTTAAATCAGAATGCTGGAAGTAGGACAATAGATTCAAGCAGCTGAGGATAAAAGGACTGAGAGGGAAGAACTAGAACAAAAATATTATGTGGAAATGAGGCTGCATTCCCTAAGAAAGAGATTGTCACCACAAGGAAGAAAACATGGCTAAACCTCAGCCTAAAGACTGTATCTTGGCTGCCATGAGAGAAAGACTCCTTAGGCCTCAGTGGGCTTGCAGATGACATTTTTATGAGACAACAGCTTCCACATCATTGCTCACCATAAGGGTGCATGTTTTAAATTATTGTGTTGTTTGAGTTTATCTTAATGGTCATAATTTTTCTAATTAAAGCCTGTAAGTCCCTGTGTTGGTGTGCATGGGCCAGGTTGGGCTGGTCACCTGAGAAAGGGATAAAAGGGCCTGATTGCCTGCAGTCCTTTCGGAGGAAGCTCTACACCTGTGATAGTGAACTTATGGCACCTGTGCCACAGGTAGCACACAGAGCCATATCTGCTGGCACGCGAGCCGTCAGCTCCAGCATGCATGCATGCGCTGGCCAGCTGATTTTCAGCCTTCCAGAGGGCCGGGGAAGGCCATTTTCCAGGCTTCAGGAAAGCCTCCGGAGTCTGGGGAGGACGAAAAGCAGGACTTCCAAAAGCTTGGAAACAGGCATGTTTTGGCCTTTGGAGAGCCTCCGGAGCCTGGGGGAGGCTGTTTTCGCCATCCCTGTGGGTCAAGCAAAACCTCTGGAACCTGGAGAGGGTAAAAACTCCCCTCTGTATAGTGTGTGTGTGTCTCACACACACATGTGCAGGGGGCGCTGCATTGTGGGCTTTGGCACACGTTTACAAAAAGATTCGCCATCACTGCGCTACACTATGTTGACCATTCTGGAAATGTAAATAAAATTTAACTATGTGAAACAAAGACATTCTGAGTTTTCAAATAAACTAGGAAGATTATTGACATATAGATTAAGAAAAGAAAGAGAAAAGGTAATGATTGGTAAAATCCAGGAGGGCAAGACAATATTGACAGATAACTTCTGTATCAAAAATTCATTTTATAATATCTACTCAAATTCATATAAGAAAAAGGACATGAACTTACAAAAAATGTATATGAGTATCTTTTAAAATAACTAATGAAGCTTTCACAGGTGCAAAAACAATGTATAAATGATCCTATAACTGCTTTTGAAATACCAGATGCTATTAAAAAGATGAAAACAGGCAAGGCTGCAAGCCTTAATGGTTATCTGCCAGCACTGTGTCTCTGGATTCTTTATAGGATGAACAGGTCAGACTTTTCACAAAATGATTAATGGATACAAATAAGAACAAAGAAATAGCAGAGCATTTTAAGCTCACAGGACATTTTGTTACAGAACTCAAAAATTCTGCAACCCAGAAATTTTGCAACCACAATTAAGCAAGAAACAGCTAAACTGATACATATCATCAGTTTTAAGCTATTTCAGGAAAACTGATCAACGCAATGTTCTTTTTTTACATGCACTGCAATTATTAATTGATGAGATGCTTGTAAGTCCCCTGCCAGCTTCATTTGTATTGGTATCCTAACTTACTTTTTCTTTGCCCATCCTGTTATGTATTTTAATCCCAAAACAGGGAATTAATGTCCTTTATCTGGAGAGGAAAATACAATGGATCAAGCAAGGAGTAGCAAGAATAGTTTTCTGAATAATTCATTTGTGTTGGAGTAATCTTGTCTCTTTTAATTATCTCCTAATTAGTTTGGCTGAATGTTGTGGATAGATATATTTTTCTTGAGTTTGCTAATATGTTTCAAGAGCTATCTCATTACACATTCTTGTAGATAACATATGGTAGTTAAATGTAGGGGAGATACAGTGTTCTGGTAGATTTAGAACTGGATGAATAACTGCATAACTCTTAAATGATTTTGCATTGATAGTGAAATAGACTTCTCAAGAAATGTGAGTCTGTTCCACCTGATTCAACAGCATGCCTACAATTGGCCTACAGATTAGTCTCCTCTATTTTTAATAAGTTGTTGGAATGGGCAGTAGTGATAATTTTGACAAACAGGAGAATGAGACAAGACAATGGTCAGAGAAAAGAAATCTAAAGCAGAACTATAATTTGGGAAAGCATCTCTGACTGAACCTTCCCTAGTTCTCTTGAACATAAAAGGAGAAAACTTGCAAGAGTCTGTTACTGTAATCTTATAATAACTGTCCTTAAGGAAGCCAAAGATGCTTTTTCAAGAAGCAACTAGACTTTCTTGTTTTTCTTGGAAGACATTTTGTTTCTCATTTAAGAAGATGAAGAAGCTTCTTGGATGAGAAGCGAAATGTTTTCAGAGAAAAACATGAAAGTCAAATTGCCTCTTGAAAAAGCACCTTTGGGACAACTATGACCTGGATGCCTGGGAACCTCCATAGACAGGTTGTTAAGGAAGTAATTTGCTGGAGCTATTTGCTTGTCAACTTTTCCAGGAACAAGGGTGGCTAATGTGAGAAAACAGAGCCCATACAGAGGTTGTGGAATGAAAATTACAATATTGAAACTCAGAAGAGAATCATGCACAGATCTTCTTCCTAGCTTATTCCCACAAGTACAAGCTACACTTTTCGGATCATTGAACACCACTTTGCACGGTCATCAAAGGGTGCAGGCCCGTAGCTTACATATCTCTGTTGATGATGTCTTGCCAACTCTGTTTTGGTGGCCTGCCCTTGACTTCTAGTTGGTAGGCAGGCTTGATAGGTAATCATGCACAGATGTCTAGGAGAAAAATGCTTTCAGAGTCCGATAGTTTTATATTATTTTTTTTGTGTTCAAAACCTTGCAAGATTCCCTTTACATTTATTTTTCCACGAGGAAACAGTTGAGAAACCAGTTCTCAGCTAATGAACAAGCAACAATGATAAACATCATTGGCTACCATAGACCTCCCTTCTTTACTGAAGAGAATTGTCAACTGGCAGATGATCCGATCTATAGGAAAGAAGATTACTGTCATCTATTGTTACCTTCCTCATCTTAAATAAACAGATGCCTCCTGCAGCACCCTGCTGGCCAAAACGGGGTGCAGGGGGTCTGTGCGCAGCCCCCTGCACCTTGTTTTTGCCTTCAAGGGCCTCCTGAAGCACTCTGCCAGGCGAAAACTGGCCATGCTGTCTATTTCAGGCTAGTTTTGGGTTGTTTTTCAGCCTGTTTTTGGCCAGCAGAGTGCTGCAGGTCAAATTCTATAACCCTCAGATAGGGTTCGTAACTTAGGAGTCCTCCTGGATCCACAGCTGACTTTTGAACACCACTTGTCGGCTGTGGCCAGGGGGGCATTTGCCCAGGTTCGCCTGGTGCACCAGTTGCG